TGTGGGACGTGTGGGACTCCCCACGACGCCTATTTTTAGTAAATAAATAATATTATCCTACTGATATTAATATATATATATATATATATATATATATTTATTTATTTTGATTGAAAATCCAAATTTCAAGTCAACGTTTTGGTGGGGTCTGTGGGTTTTTTTGAAAGTGGTATTCAGTTCTACACTGGTGACCTACTGGTCACCGAGATTTACGTTTCGGAGGCGAAAATTTGAATCAAAGGTCCGTCGTGAAAAATAAATATGGGGAAGTGAAAAATAGATATGGGGAAGTCTGAAAAATAAATATGGGGAAGTGAAAAATAAATATGGAGAAGTTGTGGGTATGACATGTACCAATTGACCCCTAACAGTTATTGGAATGGCAGACATGCACCCACCTGTACACACTTTTTTATTAAGTGTGAGAAGACCAATGGCTATCACGCCAAGTCTTGTGACAAAAAAGCCCAACATTAAGTTGGAGTGAAAGTACTACCAGGTACAATCGTTACAAAGAAAATACAACGACTCTTTAGACGAGCGTGTAATAATACCTGTATATTGCAATGGAAACAAAATCCTTGCGTTGATTGATCCTGGTTCAGAAATTTCATGTATATCCGACCGCTTTGCATTAATGAAGACATTGAAAGGCGAACTCAAACTACTCACCTAATCTTAGCAGATGACAAAACTTCTAAGTGTGATACCATGGCCACAGATATTAAAATCCCCCTGGCCGATGATAGGAGTATCACTACCCAAGCTGTGATAGTTAACATGTCACAGAAGTACGACATTATAGTCGGAATGAGCGATTTACTCACTCTAGGTATAACCGTAACTGGTTTTCCAAATAACATAGATCCATTAAAGGATCAATCAGACGATAACTGTCTGAAACCATATAAGCCCCCGTCAGACACATTCAAGGCATTAATACCTGACTTTGCGAACAAAATCATAGATCTGACTCTAGTAAATAAGTAGATAAAGATCACAGATTAGGCAAAATTGGGTTTTAACGACGGATATGTCAGCCTTGACTTAACTAAGGTGGACTTTACACGGTTGAAGTGTCCCTCAAGGAACTATGTATCCTGGAGACACGAGGCTGTGGTAAAGGAACAAGTTGAGAAATGGTTAGCAGATGGAGTGATAGAAATTAACTATCAACAAACGCCAATTAACTTGGCACTGCTAGCCGTAGACCTACATAACTCTGACGGATCGTTCAAGAAAGTCAGAGTATGTTTAGATATGAGTCCGATAAAAAAATCATTGCCGACTCATAGCTTTCACCTACCTCATATTTACGAGCTACTGCGCAGGATGGAAGGTGCTACAGTACGTACAACTATAGACCTTACACAAGGATACCATCACATGCAAATATATGAACCACATCGTAAATACT